GCGCTCGATTTTGAAACCCTCACGGGACCGAGAATCTTGGGAGGATTTCGGCATGTGTGCGCGTGAACCGACGACGCGCGCATGTGTTCGTTTTTTTTTGTTTTGCAGTGCATCTGGGACAGTTGATCATTTCTGCGAAAGGAGTGCGCGCGCATATAATTTGTTGCAGAGGATGGCGGAAACAAAGGGCGCCGATATCGGTTCAATTTGGATGGTATGAGCTCCCCAATCACATTTTGCCGTTTTAAAAGTCCTAGCGGATTCATATGGTTTGGTGGGGTGTGTTACACATCTCCGCGACCCGCCCGAGTGCCCGGGTGCCTGGGTTCTTTATAGCCCTACAACCCTATAGCCTTATGGCCGTAGAGCTCCATATTTCCATGGCCCAAATGGCCTTTTATAACCCTTTAGCCTTATAGCCCCATCGCATTATAGCTCTATTGCCCTACAACCCTACAGTTCTATACCCCTATACCCCTATACCCATACAACCCTAAAGCGCTGTGGACCTATGGCCCCGTAGCCTGGTAGCGCTGTAACCCATCAGCCCTCTAGCTCTAAAGCGCTATAGCCCTATAGCCCTGTAGCCCTATAGACCTGTAGCTCTTTATACGCCTATCGCCCCATCGCCCTACAGCCCTGTAGCCCTATGGTCATATAGCCATATAGTCCCGTAGCCTATATACTCACAGCCGTACACCCCCATAGCCCCAGCGCCCCATAGCCCCATAGCTCTATAGCCCTACGCCTCTATCGCTCTATAGCCCTATAGCCCCCTACATTTGTAACCATATGGCCCCATAGCCCTAAAACCCCGTAGCCCCCACAGCCCTATTGTCCTGAGCAGATGTCGATAGTGGTTTTTATCCATTTCCATTCATAGCTATGGTGAACCATGGAGCATAATCAAATGTAAGTTTCAATGCGTGAGGGGGGTGGAGTCGACTTTCCTTTTTAAGCAAAAGAAGACAGATGATACAGTTTGTTTCTGTTCGCAGTGGGTTGTCAACCCCACTTCTCGCGAAAGCATCCGGTCCACCCGCCCTGCTGCTTGTTTCTGGGAAGCCCAATCGGCGGCGATTGCGATGAGTGTTCGGCGTTGGCTGGTGGCTCTCTGCGGCCGCGCTAACCCTAGCGAGCTCGCGGGCGCGGCGGCCAGCTAGTTTGGCGCTGGCAACGCGGCCGCGGTGGCGCCAACCTTTCGTTGCTTCCCAGCGGGCATTTCAGTGCGAGTCGGCGGCTAGGGCGGGCGCGGTATCATGGCAACGTCGGCAACGGTAGGCACGAGGACGATCGTAGCGACGACGGTGGATTGCGTGACGGCGTCCTCGCGTCGGTGATGATAGCTTCGGAAAAGAATTCGACATGCGCACGCGGCCGGCACGCGATAATGGCCCGCATGGTATTATTTGAGACGGCGCAAGGGTGTTCGAACATGCCCGTTTGGAATGATTCAATGACAAAGGCGAAGAAACTCATTATGTCTTTTTCTTGTCAAACGAATTCGCGGTGAGATGTTGCACGCCGTTTTTGTTGTTGACCTGTTTCGGGGTACTCGATGTTGGTATAATTTCGATACCTCATGTATTCGCAGGAATTCGACATGCACGCGCGACGGCGCGCGCGCGCGTGCACGTCGCCCCGTTGTTTGGAGGGAGAAAAGACTCCTTGCGACAGCATGCGCGCAAGGGTTTTCAAATGATTTCGACATGCGCGCGCGAAAAGTCCAATTGGCTGCATTTAGTGAAACGATTGGAACACCGATGGTTCTTTTGAGAGTTCGCACGAGCGCGAGCGCAAACGTTGCTTGCGTTTTTGTTGCGGGACCATGCGTTTTCGTATGTTTCCGGAACGTTCGATTCAGACTTTTTTCGGGCATTCGCGTTTGGTTAGCATGGTCGCGCAAGAGGCCCATTTGGTAGCATGTGATGGGAGGTCTGATACACTTAATCATGTACACATATAACGGCGCACCGGGTCCGGGGGCCCGGGGCCGGGACCTCGACCGCAAATGTGCACCCCGGGGGGCCCGGAGGCTCGTCGGGGCTTGCCGGAGGCCTCCCCGGTCAGACAAGACGGCCCCAGGAGCGCCCAAGACGGCCCAAGAAACTTCCAAGAGGCCTCCAAGAGGGCTCCGAGATGCTGAAGATGGCCTCCAGACGTCCAAGGACGCCCCCAAGAGGCCCCAAGAAGCCTCCAACATGCGTCCCAAGAGGGCCCCTAGACGCAAAAATTGGCCCATTCCCTTCGTAAAACGTACATTTTTCAACAAAGTTGCTTTTTGGGCTTTCCGACGTTACAGGACGGCCCAAGAGGCGCCCAAGACCGCCCCAAGACGGCCCAAGAAGCCCCCAGGACAGCCCAAGAGGGCCCCAAGACGGCCCAAGAGGCGCCCAAGATGGCCCAAGAGGGCCCCAAGACGGGCCCAAGAGGGGGCCCAGAGGGTGACCACGAACCGCAAGCTCGAGCCTTCCGCCCCAAGAGGCCGCCAGGAGGCCCC